ATCACAGCCACCAGTGTGAGCAGACCTCCAGCTCTTCCTCCGTTGGTTGCATTTTTAAGGAGCTTTCTACAGTGAGAAGCTGCCTGGCCCAGGGATGAGGGGACGGATGGTTGTCCTCAACACCAACCTGTACTATGACCAGAATGATGAGACAGCTGGTGAGGAGGATCCTGGGGGGCAGTTCCAGTGGCTGGAAGAAACACTGACCAACGCCTCTAGAGCAGATGAAATGGTATTAAAAGGACTGAATAAACAACCTGGGCTTCTCCCCAGCCCGGAATCTCTTCCTGCTCTGCTCCCTCTGGGTGCAGCTGCAGCTGGCTGGTGCTCCCTGGGTGCTGTGGGCTCTGTGCTCAGGGCAGCTCTTGCTTCTGTAGGTCTACATTGTGGGGCATGTCCCTCCTGGCTTCTTTGAGAAGACGCGGGGCAAGCCCTGGTTCCGCAGGGGCTTCAACGAGCGCTACCTGGGAATTGTGCAGAAGCACCACGGGGTGATTGCTGCCCAGTTCTTTGGGCACCACCACACAGACAGCTTTCGCATGTTCTACAGCCACACAGGTACCTGTTCTGGTCACCCAAGCACTTGTGTGACAGCTCTGACAGCTCTCAGAATCCCTGTCCATGAGAGTTTTTAGTGGCTGTTGTCTGAGAGCAGCTAAGAAGCCAGAAAAAGCATCTGACATGCTTTGGGCAACAAGAAGCAGCAGAGGTTCTCATCTCTACCCCCAGTCTGTAGCTCCTGCCCTCCTTCCTATTCACCCTCAAATATTGTTGTTTCCCCTTAATGCCTGGCAGCTTCTTCTGTTCTCTCTTGAGGGGTTTGGGCATTGCTGAGGGAGCAGTGCTTAATCTGTGTGTGTGGGGTGCTCTGGGCAAACACATTTGCAGAGTGTGGTTCCCTGACCACTCTCACTTCAAGAGTCTTTGCCAGCATGGAGAGCCCATTGCTGGCTGCAGCAGCCCTGTGCTCAGTTCCCAGTATTGTTCCACATGTTAACCTTTGTGTGGTGGTACAGGGAGCTGGGGACAAAGGTACTGTCAGCAGAGCAATCTGCTCCAGGTGCTCACTGTGATCGGGACAGGGTGTGGGACAAGCCATGGTCTCCAGTCACTGTTTTGCATTTCTGTGAAGGTACTCCAATCAATGTCATGTTCCTGGCCCCTGGAGTGACTCCCTGGAAAACAACATTACCTGGAGTGAGCAATGGAGCCAACAACCCTGCCATTCGGGTGATCAACTATGATCAGGACACCCTGCAGGTCTTGGTAGGGATCCCTGTGTGCACCACACTGCAGCTCTGGAACAACTTTAATTCCCCCTGTAGTCAGAACAGGCTTTTCAGGATTTCTCAGTCCACAGAAGCTGAGTGGCTGTATGGGAGAGGACTCTGACCCAGGATATTTCAGCTTCGTGTCTGGCACAAAGATTTAGTTGGAGCATCAGTGAATCAAAGCTTGGCCCTGGCAGCCAGTGCCTCCTGCTGGGATGAGTTCCCCTGGGCAGGGTCAGACAGTTTTTGTGGTGATCTTCATGTCCTTGCCATTTGACACTTGCTTTCCTCCCCAGATAATATGGATCACAGAACTACTCTTTGAGTAATAACTGACTTGTCAGATCTCCAAAACCATTAAGCCGTCTGAAAAATTATTTGTGTCCCTCTACTTGCTAAAATGATGCATTTGGAGGAGTGGATCTGAATCGAGGTGAATTGTAGGGGCAGCTTCTGTTTCCTGTCTCTTGTTTGCCAAGAGATGGAGGATGGGTGCTTATGCCCTCCTTTGTAGGGGATGAAGCTCTCTATAGTTGCTCTGTTTACGTGTTTATAGCATAGAAGTGAATGCTAAAATATGCTGTGCAAGGATGGGGAGCCAGTGAAGCAGAGAGAAAAGGGCAAGAGACTGAGAACAGAAGCTGTGAAAACTTGATTCTTCAGTTTGTTCATAGCTGAGAAGATAGATAACTTTGCTCAGTAACTCTCATGTAGCCCTTGCTTCTGCTGCTGGGCAGTGTTGATAGTAACTGACTGATGTCTGAAGCAGGCCAGGCTCAAAGCTTCTGATGTTTGGAGGTCAAAGTCAAGCACAGCAAAGCCACCCCTTCACCCCTTAGGAAAGAGGCTCTGTTTGGGGTGGGTTCTGGAGGGTCTCACCTGAGGTGTCCCCTGGTGCCCATCTGGGTAGGAAGTCCTGTCAAGGGCAGCTGGGCCCTTGGGGTCGGGGATGCTGCAGTGGGAACCAAGCTGGACTCAGTGTCTCACTCCAGGGCCAATCTTGTCCTGATGTCTCCCCAGCTGTGTTTTTCTCTCCCTCAGGATATGGTGACTTACTACTTGAACCTTACTCGTGCCAACACGATGGCCTCACCACGGCCAGAAGAGTTCCCAGAGTGGGAAGAAGAGTACAGGCTGACAGAGGCCTTCCAGGTCCCTGACTGCTCTGCACGCTCCATGCAGACGGTGCTGGAGAGGATCTCCAGGGACCCCCACTACCTGCAGCTGTACTATGAGTTCAACTCTGCCAGGTATGACCTGGCCCCGTGCCAGCAGGAATGCCGTGTGGATCACCTGTGTGCCATCAGGGAAGTCGATTTTATAAAGTACGATGAGTGTGTGAAAACCAACAGCTCTGCCTCTGCTGCCAGCAGTGCTTGGCTTTTGGTTTTCTGCATGTTCTTAGGATTTCTCAGTCCTCAGCCAGTGCTGTGATGGCCAAGAGGAAGAGAAAAGAAGGAGGGCATGAAGTCACACCACGCTGCATGTGAATTGGTGATTTTGGCATTGAGAACTTGCTTGGAAAACAGGACAAAATTGTCAATGTTTACTAAAAGCCCTGTGATGCTGATTTGAAGTTTTCTAGAGATGTGTGAAGAGCAATGTCTTTGAGAGCCTTATTGTGCCAAAGTGACTGCAACAAGGAGTGTCTCCCCTCTGCTAGGACTGTTGGGGCAACCTCACAAATCAGATAAAGACCAGGCCTCCCTGTGGACATTAACCTCCAAGGGGTGAGGGTAGGGAGCTACCACACGTTCCCGAGGCCACTGCCAGCATTCCTCATTTTGGCACACACTTTTTTTTTTCAAGTCTGCATAGCTGTTGACTCAGGAAGTCTTGTTGTGGTGGCTTTGTTCCACAGCAGCCTGTGGCTTTTGAGCAAAGCGGGGTGGGGTGGAGTGACAGCCCAGAGAGCCCAGGGTGGCTGCAGGTCTGTGACAGGGGATGGTGCCTCAGCCTGCCCAAGGCCTCTCTCTGTCAGGGGAGCAGGCTGAGCAATGAGAGCAGCAGACCTGGGCTCTGGAGTACAACTTACAGAGAGGATTATGCCAGAACCAGATAAAACTTGACTCGGAAAACAAAAGCAACCACTGTTCAAAATCCACTGTTCAGTGTCACTTGTGTACCAAAGTGCAGCACGAGGCAGCAGAGCAGGTCACAAGCAAAGCAGCTGGGGCAGCTTTAGGAGCTGCAGCCTGAGGCAGCCCAAGGACAAGTCCTGCAGGGAAAAGGGCACTTTGCCATGGCAGGATCCTCCCGTGAGCCACAGCACGACAGGCAGCTGTACCAGTGCAGACTGGAACGAATACACTACACTCTCCAACCTGGCAAAATCTGCATTTAATTTACAACATAGTAAAGGTTACAGGTAAAAAGCTCAACAGAAGTGTGAAAAGGCCTATTACATATTACACAAGTGTACAAATGTCTGTACAAAGCCCCTCGATGTTCCTGTCCCCTCGTGGCCAGCTGTGGCCCCTAAGCTCTGAAATAATAAGAGCTGGTTCAGAGTCTGAGAGGAGAAGAGCTTTAAAAAACGAGCAGTGAAGTTTCCCTTGTCAAGAAAAATCTTGCAAAGAGCCACTTGCAAAAAAAAAAAAAACCTCCCCAAGGAGCTGCAGTCCTGCACACAGTGAACAGCCAGGTACATGCTCTCATTTCAGTGCACATTTCCTGGATCCCCCAAACAGCAAAGGAATGTGACTTATAGCTGAACTGCATTTAGAGTGTGTAAAAAATCCAGAATAAAGAATAAAGCTCTGGCCTTACCTTGCGTAAAGTACAGCCACAATATGTCTGAGCATGTGAATACACCCAAGGAACTAAAGGGCTTGAGCAACAATCCAAGTCCACTGAGAATTCCTATTCTGGCTCTCAGTAGCACTCAATTCTCACCTGCAGTTTCCAGCAGCCAAAATATTAGTGTGTGGGGAACACACCGGTCCTCCCAGCTTTTTGTCTTGATGAATCTCATACAGTCTAAACTTAAAAGTTCCATTTGCAAATAAAAATGAAACTATTTAAGTTACAGAGGCCACCAAGTCTGAAGTTACACCCTGTGTTAACTTCACCCTGAGTTATCCAGGGGAGTCACCACGGCACAGTGCACAGTGCCTGATCCCGCTGGATGCCCCGACTGTTTGCACCCTGTATCCATCCCACAGACCCCACTCTGCAGCACTGCAACAAAGCTAAGGAACCCACCTGCTTCCCTGCTTATCCATCTCAGTTCATGGGATGATCTAGTGTTTTATGTGGAAATCAAAACAAGCTGTAGCCAAACTAAAATTAATAATAATAATAAAAAAGACAATGCCCCACATTGGTGAGGTTTTGAAAATATAAAAAATAAAAGCTGACCTATAATTCTGCAAATTCTACAACTCCTTCCAATGGGATTCTGCAAGGCTTGGCCCCACAAACATTTCCTCTTGACAGAGTTGCCCTGCTGTGAGAATGTCCAGCAGGAACAGTGTCACCACAGCAAGCCCAGCACTGAAATACACGGACCTGCAGGGTCATGCCATAAGTGATAATGAAATTGTGTGACTGCCCCTTTGACTTGTGGATCCAAACTCAGCACAAAGACCTCTGGGACAGTGGTGGCTAAGAAAAGGCTGTAGGGGTTTTGGTTCAAAAGGAGACGGGAGCTGTATTTTTTTTTTTTTTAAAAATTCTTAGATGTGCACAGTGCAGGAAGGGAGACAAAAGCTGACACTCAGGTGTAACTTAGATGAAGTCTGAGCACCTCTTCACCTCCTTTACACTCCTGCCAGTCTTGAGCTCATCCTGAACAAAGACCAAGTAGGTCACAGAATGTCCTGGGTTGGAACAGACCCACAAGGCTCATTGAGTCCAACTCCTGGCCCTGCACACAACACCCCAAGTCCCACCCTGTGCCTGAGAGCATTATAACACAAAACTTCCCTCCCCCACAGAAAGGAACTGCAACTTCTAGATCACTTGGGTAATTTTGCTCCTGATCACTGGAATCTTCTCCTGCAGTTTGGTTTATGGAATATTATCCTTCTCCACATGATGTTATTTAGTCTATACCAGCAACAAATGAAATTGCTGTTACACAGTGGCTTAGCTGCTCTGAAGTTGTGCAGATATTTCTTTTTCCTTGCATATTCCAATTAAATAGAACACTTATCTTGGAGCAAAGCCTAAACCTGCTTGTTCTAGTACACAAACGTATGAAACATCAAACACAGTATTTAAATAAACTCTCATTTTTCCCTTCTATTTTCTACATTTCCCACAGTTTTATCTGGAACTAATGCACTAGATTTCTAGAAAGTTTCTTTTTGGGAGGAAAAAAAATTCACCATTGATCTCATGTGTTATTAAAGAAAAAAGCTAAAGCTGGGTTCAAAGGAAAATGCTCAAATTTGCTAAAAATGACAACTGTGAAACACAGACATGACTTCTGCTTAACAATGGAACACCTCCCATGTGGGAGCACTCTGTTTCTAAGGTGCAATTCATAAATCACAAAGTGAGTTCATCAATGTCATGTGCTAATGAGAAAGTCAGGAGTCACCCCATACCTTAACAGGCACCACTGCTGTCTGTACCATGTTCCTGAACCGCCCCACAGACGGGTCCACGTCCTCTGCAAAGCAAGAACAGGGATGCCTTCAGTGAGCACAACCAGAGAGCCTTCAGTGAGCACAACCAGAGATGCCTTCAGTGAGCACAACCAGAGAGCCTTCAGTGAGCACATGGCAAAAACCACCTCTGTGGGGTAAAGGAATCTATATCCCAGTAAGCAGAAGTGTGACCAAATAAAAGGAGGAACATCCAGTGGATTTGTCTCCAGGTGGCTCATCCTGGCTTTCCCTCAAATGGAGAATAGGATGAGTGGTTTGGGATCAGACAGGCTGGAGTTTGGGCTGAAAGCTGCTGGTGACAAGGCTCTGCATGTGCTAAAGGCACACACCTGGTCCCCAAAGTCCTTGGGGGGCCTTGAAGCAGGAGTCAGAAGCAATCAGTCTCTGAAAGTCTGGAAAAACTATCTTTTTTTTTGTGATGAGAATGATAGGTGTTTGCATTAGGATGTTTTGAGCACTGAACTGCATCACGTTATAAATCAAAATCGTTGTGCTGAGTGTCAAAGGAACCACCTCCACACTGTATTTCAAAATACCTGTTCATTAATTAGCTGCTCTTATTAACAGGAATATTATCCAAATAAAGTAAGATTGATAAGAATGCCATTAATACAGAACAGCTAAGGGAGAAAAAAAAGACTAATGTGGAATTGGATACATCTTCAAATGCATCGGTTTGAATGAGGATTAGGGATGACTTGGTTCACATGTGCAGAGAAGTAGCAAAAAGCTACTCTGAGCTAGAGACATCCCAGAGGCAACAGGTAAAGAAAGCATTGAAGGAGAGGTGAAAAACAGAGTAAGTTCTGTTCCCATTCTAAAGAGGCTCTAAAGAGGGCAAAAAATGTAAACCACCTTCCTCCTTTTGGACCCATGACATTTCTCCAGTATCTGACAGAGTACTGAACAATGAAGCTGAGTTTGATATCCCCATCCTGCTCAGAGCTTGCAGTTATTTTACAGGTAGAACAGAAAAAACAGAAAGAGGTCCCAGACTTCAGTGAGATGTGGTGGCAGCTTCTGTGAAACAGCAGATCCCAAATATTGACTGCCAAATTTATCTTCTCCTTATCCAAGTGCACCCATGAGGAATCCCTATGAGCACACTGGAAGGAGGTCCTGAGGGGCATCAGCTGAGGATTAAAGCAAGCTCCTTACCCGGATTGATGATCTCATCATCGTCACTGAACGTCACTCTGGAGTTCTTCCGTTTTCGCTTTGGCCTCTGGATGTCCAAGTTCCCTTCCTCAATGGTCAGTGTGGAGATCCTTTTGTTGTGGGCTGTATTAAACTCTGTCAGATTCTACAGCAAATTTAGAAACAAATGAAGTCTGATTTAATCACACGACTGTGCACATCAGAAGACCACAGGACATTGTTTAGTTTCAAGTTCACTGTTAGATTTATGAACCTGATGATCTTAAAGGTCTTTTCCACCTAAATGATTCCATGACTAAGCAAACAAGGGGGGAAGGCTGTCCTTGCTGGAAATGCCATCAAGGCAGTGTGCCATCATACTTGTGGTGTTTGTGAGGATCCCAAGGACGAGATGAGAATCTGACTCCAAGTTCTCAGAAGGCTGATTTATTATCTTATGATAATATATTAAAGAATGCTATACTAAAACTATACTAAAGAAAGAGAAAAGATACATCAGAAGGCTTGACAAGAATGAATAATAAAAACTCGTGACTCCTCAGAGCCTCGACACAGCTGGACCATCATTGGTCACTAAATTAAAACAATTCACATGCTGGATAAACAATCTCCAAATCACATTCAAAGCAGCAAAACAGGGAGAAGCTGAAGCTTCCCAGCTTCCCAGGAGAAGAAATCCCGTCAAAGGGATTTTTCAGAAAGTATCATGGTGACATATACTCACGTCCAGTTCTGTCTCCTCCTCTGGCAGCCCCAGCAAACCCTTCAGCTCCTCATCCTCACCACCCATCTTCTCATCCCCCTTCACTGCTGAGGGCAGCGTCTGCGGCTTCTCTCGCAGCGTGTACGCGCGCGTGGAGGCGCCGAAGGAAACCGTGGAGTCAATGGGGATCTGCTGGGGTTTGTGAGCTTCCAAACGGATGTGGCCCAAAAACGTGCCATGTGCTGAGGACATCAACATGCAAAACAGTCTGTTGAGCTTGGGATAAGGTATTCCAGTTCAAGTTTTGAGAATCTCAGGAACAGTAACAATTGTTCCAAGGTACAAGGCACTGAGGTACTGCTGAAAGCATCAGCTGTGTAGACCCACCATCTCACAAACTGAGATAACACACACCAGAAGTCCTGAAAAAATCACTGGAAATAAACTACAAACACCTTTTACCTTCTGTATTCCTGCAGATCCCAATGTACTGTTTGGACAGTGCAAAAAAAACACTTGACAGGTTTTAGACCTTGGGAAATCACCCTCAAAAGACAAGGCTTCACTAAAATTGTGACGGGAAGGTCAAGACACTTTCCTCCTCTCTTTTGGCCTTTTACAAGTTAGAAATGCTTGAAACACCCAGTGAGGCAGCTGTAGGCTGACTGGAGCAAACATTCCTTTGCCCTAACCCTTGTCTTTCCCTACAATGCAAATTCAAATTATATCCATTTGCCCACAGTGCAGACAACAATGGAAAGGGAAAAAGTGTCTCAGATTCAGAATGTTTAAGCACTGAAGTATAGCTCTTCTGTCTGGTTAAATGCCACACTACTTACTGCTGTTCAGATCTATGAGGAAAACCCTCTTGAGATGTTTGTGATAGACCAAGGCAGCATGGACCCGAGAGCAAGACTGGTGGTCAATGGTAAAATCACACAGATCAGGATTTCTCCCAAAGAGATAGTATTTCTTCTCATCAATGATGAGTTTCTGAGGTAGAATATCAAACAGAGAAGCATATTAGACTCCTAGAATCTTTTGGATCTTCCTGAAAAAAATTCAAGAACATGAATAAATAGAGCAAATTCAAGACAAAGCATCAACAGCTCATCAATATTTCAGTTTAGTCTGGCACTGTTAAACACATAAACTCAAGTCTGCTCTTTATAAAATCAGAACAGCTGAATATGGGAGAGTCCCAGTTATTCACTTCTTTAGCAGCCAACACTGGACATTCTGGGGGACAGCACTCTTCAAAGCATTAGACTACCTCACACAGGAGATTTTCTCTGACATCTGCTCCCAGAGATTTTAACACATTCCTTGACGGATGAACTCAGGCTTTGTCTAAGACAGGAACCCGTGCTTGGTGATCTCCAGTCTGATACAGGACATCAAAATTATACTTCTGTAGAGAAATGGGCCTACAGGAGATTTCAGACCTCTGGTATAAAGGGGCAAAACTATACTGAGTATGTGCTGTGATCTGAATCCGTATTAGTCTATTAAAGTAAACCATTAATTTCAGGTATTTCTTCTTTATTGATCCTAGTTCTAATATCTTCTTTAAAAAATATCGCACAACTCTTAATATTAGTTATATAAACATCTAAATAAAGTGAGGGACATGTTGACCAAGTCCTACAGTATTTCTGTTACCAGATGGTGTTGTTAAAGGAATCCTTGCAGCACCTGAATGCTGCAGTACCGAGCAGGGCATGTGCAGAACCTTCTCACTGCATCCCAAGAACTTCATCTAATCTGTAATTTCCTGCTCCAGCTGCACAAGGCAAAGGCTGCCTGCACATCACATATCTGTTCACAGGCTTCTCCTGCCTTTGAAACATTTACCAAAGCCCACAGGTTTCAATAGCATCATCCAGGGAATGCTGACACATCTTCCACTGAAAAACCCACATGTTGGTTCAGGAGAGCACTGCTTCCAAGAGATGGTCTGAGATGAACTAACATTCTGCCTGCTTGAGCACCTGGATTTCTCCCCTGCCTCCCTGCATTCCCAGCTATTCAATCCTCTCCTCTATCCCACTGCCACATGTGTGAGCAAAGCTTTTGGCTTGCAAAGCCTTTTTTTCCCTGTGTTCATCTCCCCTCATTTGGGTGGGCTGGATCAGTCTGCCTTTGGCACGTCCCAGCAGCTCCACTGGATTCCAGGCACTGGGTGGGTGATGCCAAGGATCTCCCTCTCTGGCAGCAGCATTCCAGCCAAGCAGATGTTTGCTCCTCCCTTTGCCAGGTACAAACCAGTTACAGCTCAGCTCCAAGCAGCCAGTGTGTGGCCAGGCCCAGGGGGCTGGGGGATTCCTGAGCTGTCAGATGACACAAGGAGCACCCACAGTCACTGGCTCTGGGGCACCACCAAGTCATACAGAAAATAAGGAGACAGACTGGAACAAGATGCAGTATTTATACTCCCCTGCTTCACCTGTGAGGACAAAAATCCCATCATGGACCTCAGCTTCTACTGCAGATCACCTTGCCAATCACATCTATTCACCTACCTAGCAACTCTGTTTTTAGCACTGCTACAGTCACGTGTCACTTCCCTGCTGTTTTCTTTTTCCTGATTTTTCCCCCCATACAGATGCTGTATATTTTCCATGTTGGATTTTCCAGCATTCTACTGAATATCTGTCAGCCCCCATGCTGCAAGTTCTCATCATTTGGTATTCAGTAACAAGCATTTATTTCTGCATGTTTAAAAGAATTAACTGAACAACCTGACTCCACACTTGTATGCATCATGACAATTTTATGATTGATTGGTCCCTTAGATAATACTCTGTTAAATGTCTTATTTCCCCCCCAACCCAAGGTATACAATTAAAGCATCAGTTCATGACAGCAACTGCTTTGTGAAATCTACTGACTAACATATTTTGGCCTGCCATCTTAAAAAAAGAGCATTTAGGTGATCAAGGTGTGCATATTTATCAGCTCTGACACCCACTACTAAACCAAGTAACTTCTAAACCTCTGGCCAGTTTCAACCAGCACTACAAGATTATTAAATTTCAAGCAATTCTGTGGAAACAAACAGCTAGATAGAATGATAGTTCCATCAATCCCCTCAGTGATACACAGGCTGGCAGAAAATCCCAGAGTGCCAATACTTAGATTTCAACCCCCAAAAAAATCTTTGTGAGTCCACACCTCATTTAATAAGGCAGCAATGAGAGCTCAATTGGCAATTCACCTGTAAGGACATGGTCTATTGACAAATGAAGTGCAAATGCAAAATGCAAGTGATTTTCCTCCAACTGAGAGATGTAAAACATGCAGGTGTCTCCCCTGAATTGGTTTGTCTGGGGCAGAGCAATGCATCTCAAAGCCTCAGAATATTCAGATTCAAACCATGAGAAATCACTATATTGAGTTTATTGGGTTCTGCTCTCACCTGGCCACTTTATCAGCACTTTCTGTCTCTTCACAAATGCTGGTTTTCACAAGACCTCCAATTAACCAGAAAGTATAAGCCACAGATGAAGAGTTTAAACTAGGATGTAGTCTCCTCAATCCTTTGTGGTAGAATTTTATTTCATTTTTTAATTCCACCTGCAAACAGACCCCTCCACTTCCTCCCTGAAAGCTCTACATGTCAGTGTGCCTTTGTGAGGCTTCTCCTTGCATTTCTTGACCATAATTTCATGAGTCTTACTGGTATTTTCCCTTAAGATTAGAGTTGTTTCATCCAGCTATTGATCCAAGAACACCATAACTGTTTGTTACATCACATCTTTTGAGGAACCCTAATTAGGTTTTCTGGGGATTTAATTTCCCAGCATTGGATTTATAGCCCATATTCTGCAATTCCTTACTCATTTGGTCTAGCACTCTGACTCTTCCCATGCTCAACACCTTTGCACTAGTGAATTCCATGATTCCACACTCTGAAAAAAGATGAGTATTAACTTTTCCTTTTATTGCAAATTTGAAAGTAAGTCTTATATAAACACAGCTCTGATACCAAGTGGAAGCTGAATTATTCCTCCACAAACACTGATCAGCTCTGCAAGCAGTTACCTCACAATTTCAGTTTCCATAAAAACTGATCAAACCATTTCTCATTCTTGCCCACGACTGAAACCAAAAGCATCCTTTAAGTTTTCATCTGCACCAGTTACACACAAACAATACTGCCCTGACTGGGCAGCACTTCCAAGAGATTTTGCAAAGACACAAACTCATGGAAGTTACTGCAATAAATCATCAACAGAGAAGATAATTTTATTGCCTTTAATTCAAGACAACGTTTCCAAAACGTTCTGTGCCTCTGAGCTATAACCCAGTGTCTTTCTTCACACACTGAGCTTAAACACTGCATGGCTTGTTTTGCTGTTGCACTTTGCAGACCCAGCAATCACAGGGTGACCCTCAGGCCTCTGCACGAGGCTGGGACACTGATGGCTCGGTTAGTATCAAGTGCTCAACGACCCACAAGATTTAACAATGCTCCTCCTTGGTTATTGCTGGCTACCAGAAAAGACAAAACTGAAAAACTCTCTGCCACCTGTACTGAACAGGGAGACACAAGGATGGCATCCAAGCACTGTTTAGCTCAATGCTAGAGGATCTTGCAAGAATCTTTAAATTAGTGGAACTTGCTGGCAATGGTGCCTACCAGCAGCAGTTTTTCCTTCTGGACAGAGAACAGAAGGAGCTGCGGAAAACATGTGAGGGAAAACACCATGGTGGCACCAAGGGCAGGGGAGAAGGAGGGGGAGGAGGTGCTCCAGGTGCTGGAGCTGAGATTCCTCTGCAGGCTGTGGTGAGACCATGGTGAAACATGGTGCCCCTGTAATCCATGAAGTCCATGGGGGATGCACAGATCCACCCACAGTCCCTGGGGATCCAGGGGGATGCAGAGATCCACCTGCAGCCCCTGGGGATCCATGGGGGATGCACAGATCCACCCACAGTCCCTGGGGATCCAGGGGGATGCAGAGATCCCACAGCCCCTGGGGATCCAGGGGGATGCAGAGATCCCACAGCCCCTGGGGATCCAGGGGGATGCAGAGATCCCACAGCCCCTGGGGATCCAGGGGGATGCAGAGATCCCACAGCCCCTGGGGATCCAGGGGGATGCAGAGATCCCACAGCCCCTGGGGATCCAGGGGGATGCAGAGATCCCACAGCCCATGGGAAAAGGGCTCACACTGGAGCAGGTGGATGCCAGAGAAAGCTGTGATCCAGTGAATGGAGAGAGAGGGCCTTTTGCTTCCAAACTAGCACAGCCCAGCCTTAAAAGACTGCACCCCATGGATGAGTGACCCACACCACAGCAGTTTTGGGAAGAGTGTTTGCCCCTGGGAGGGACCCCATGGCACAGTAGAGAAAAGACTCCTCTCCCTGAGCAAACAGAAGATCTCAGGTGATGAGCTGACCAAAACCCCCACACCCTCACCAACTCTTCCTGCGCTCTCAGTGGGAAAGAGGGAGGGGCTGGGGAAAAAAAAAGGTGTTTTAAAGGCTTATTTTACTTCTCATTATCCTCCTCTGACTCTGTTGATAATACATTTACTTTATACCTTTAAATCTGAACCTGTTTTGCCCTTAGAGTGGTTTTTTTTCTCCCAACCCTTATTTCAACTCATGAGCCCTTCATTAATTTTTCCCCCTCTCCTCTGCCCAGCTGTAGCAGGAGAGGATAAGTGAATGACTTTTGTGCCTGGCATTTGGCCAGTATCAAACCACTACACCCAGAAACATTTCTGTTTCAGTCAGCTTCAAGTTAGGAGTCTCTCCACACTGAAATACATTCACTGGTTTGGGTTCTCTCTGTCAACAATGGTAAAGAGATTTTATTTTTTACTTTTAGTGTGATATAAGACAAAATATGAAACAGAGAATGAGGTGGTGCTGTAATAAAAATAACTTGCTGTATCTGTGCTGATCACAACACTGTTCATAGATCCTGAATGTGGGAGGAAAAATCAAATCAAACTGTATTTTATACTGTAGGACAGAGCAGC